GGAGAGATGGGGAGAGATGGGGAGAGATGGGGAGAGATGGGGGGAGATGGGGAGAGAGATTGGAGAGATGGGGAGAGATGGGAGGAGATGGGGAGAGAGATGGGGAGAGAGATGGGGAGAGAGATGGGGAAAGAGATGGAGAGAGATGGGGAGAGAGATGGGGAGAGATGGGGAGAGATGGGGGAGAGATGGGGGGAGAGATGGGGAGAGATGGGGGGAGATGGGGGAGAGATGGGGAGAGACGGGGAGAGACGGGGAGAGATGGGGAGAGATGGTGAGAGATGGGAGAGAGATGGGGAGAGAGATGGGGAGAGAGATGGGGAGATGGGGGGAGATGGGGGAGATGGGGAGAGAGATAGGAGAGATGGGGAGAGAGATGGGGAGAGATGGGGAGAGAGATGGGGAGATGGGGAGAGATGGGGAGAGAGATGGGGAGAGATGGGGAGAGAGATGGGGAGATGGGGAGAGAGATGGGGAGAGAGATTGGAGAGAGATGGGGGAGAGATGGGGAGAGAGATGGGGAGGAGGAGGAGAGTGAGGAGGAAAGAGATGGGGAGAGATGGGGAGAGATGGGGAGAGAGATGGAGAGAGATGGGGAGAGATGGGGAGAGATGGGGAGAGATGGGAGAGAGATGGGGAGAGATGGGGAGAGAGATGGAGAGATGGGGAGAGATGGGGAGAGAGATTGGAGAGATGGGGAGAGATGGGGAGAGATGGGGAGAGAGATTGGAGAGATGGGGAGAGATGGGGAGAGAGATTGGAGAGATGGGGAGAGATGGGGAGAGAGATTGGAGAGATGGGGAGAGATGGGGGGAGATGGGGAGAGAGATTGGAGAGATGGGGAGAGAGATGGAGAGAGATGGGGAGAGAGATTGGAGAGATGGGGAGAGATGGGGGGAGATGGGGAGAGAGATGGGGAGAGAGATGAGGAGAGAGATGGGGAGGAGGAGGAGAGTGAGGAGGAGAGAGGTGGGGAGAGAGATGGGGAGAGATGGGGAGAGATGGGGAGAGATGGGGAGAGAGAGATGGAGAGAGATGGGGAGGAGGAGAGTGAGGAGGAGAGAGATGGGGGAGAGATGGGGGAGAGATGGGGAGAGATGGAGAGAGATGGAGAGAGATGGGGAGAGATGGGGAGAGAGAGATGGTGAGAGAGATGGGGAGAGAGATGGGGGAGAGATGGGGAGAGAGATGGAGAGAGATGGAGAGAGAGATGGGGAGAGAGATGGTGAGAGATGGGGAGAGAGATGGGGAGAGAGAGATGGAGAGAGAGATGGGGAGAGAGAGATGGAGAGAGAGATGGGGAGAGAGATGGAGAGAGAGATGGGGAGAGAGATGGAGAGAGATGGGGAGAGAGATGGGGAGAGAGAGATGGAGAGAGAGATGGGGAGAGAGATGGAGAGAGAGATGGGGAGAGAGATGGGGAGAGAGAGATGGAGAGAGAGATGGGGAGATAGATGGGGGAGAGATGGGGAGAGAGATTGAGAGAGATGGGGAGAGAGATTGGAGAGATGGGGGGAGAGAGTGAGGTGGAGAGCGATGGGGAGGAGGAGGAGGAGGAGAGTGAGGAGGAGAGTGAGGAGAGAGATGGAGAGATGGGGAGAGAGATGGGGAGGAGGAGGAGAAAGATGGGGAGAGAGATGGGGAGGAGGAGGAGAGTGAGGAGGAGAGAGATGGGGAGAGTGGGGAGAGAGAGAGAGATGGAGAGGGATGCGGAGGAGGAGGAGAGGGATGGGGAGAGATGGGGAGAGAGATGGGGAGGAGGAGAGAGAGTGAGGAGGAGAGAGATGAGGAGGAGAGATGGGGAGGAGGAGGAGGAGAGGGATGGGGAGAGATGGGGAGAGAGATGAGGAGGAGAGATGGGGAGGAGGAGGAGGAGGAGAGGGATGGGGAGGGTGGGGAGAGAGATGAGGAGGAGAGATGGGGAGGAGGAGGAGGAGAGGGATGGGGAGGGTGACACCACGTGCAGGAAGAGACGAGGATTGGTTCAGCGACCCAGCAACAAGGGAGATGGAGGGGGAGAAGGGGGGGGGAGGGAGTTGTTTGTGTGAGGAGCGGTGGTGCAGTGGTTAGCGCACTGTGTGTGTGAGTGGGGAGTGGTGGTGCAGTGGTTAGCGCATTGTGTGTGTGTGTGGGGGGAGTGGTGGTGTAGTGGTTAGCGCACTGTGTGTGTGTGGGGGGAGTGGTGGTGCAGTGGTTAGCACACTGTGTGTGTGGGGGGAGTGGTGGTGCAGTGGTTAGCGCACTGTGTGTGTGGGGGGAGTGGTGGTGCAGTGGTTAGCGCACTGTGTGTGTGTGGGAGTGGTGGTGCAGTGGTTAGCGCACTGTCTGTGTGTGGGAGTGGTGGTGCAGTGGTTAGCGCACTGTGTGTGTGTGGGGGGAGTGGTGGTGCAGTGGTTAGCACACTGTGTGTGTGTGTGGAGTGGTTAGCACACTGTGTGTGTGTGTGGGGAGTGGTGGTGCAGTGATTAGCGCACGGTGTGTGGGGAGTGGTGGTGCAGTGGTTAGCGCACTGTGTGTGTGTGTGGGGAGTGGTGGTGCAGTGGTTAGCACACTGTGTGTGTGATTGGGGAGTGGTGGTGCAGTGGTTAGCGCATTGTGTGTGTGTGTGGGGAGTGGTGGTGCAGTGGTTAGCGCACGGTGTGTGGGGAGTGGTGGTGCAGTGGTTAGCGCACTGTGTGTGTGTGTGTGTGGGGAGTGGTGGTGCAGTGGTTAGCGCACTGTGCGTGTGTGGGGGGAGTGGTGGTGCAGTGGTTAACGCACTGTGTGTGTGTGTGGGGAGTGGTGGTGCAGTGGTTAGCGCACGGTGTGTGGGGAGTGGTGGTGCAGTGGTTAGCGCACTGTGTGTGTGTGTGAGGAGTGGTGGTGCAGTAGTTAGCACACTGTGTGTGTGTGAGGAGTGGTGGTGCAGTGGTTAGCGCACTGTGTGTGTGTGAGGAGTGGTGGTGCAGTGGTTAGCGCACTGTGTGTGTGTGAGGAGTGGTGGTGCAGTGGTTAGCACACTCTGTGTGTGTGTGAGGAGTGGTGGTGCAGTGGTTAGCACACTCTGTGTGTGTGTGAGGAGTGGTGGTGCAGTGGTTAGCGCACTGTGTGTGTGTGGGGAGTGGTGGTGCAGTGGTTAGCGCACTGTGTGTGTGTGAGGAGTGGTGGTGCAATGGTTAGCGCACTGTGTGTGTGTGGGGAGTGGTGGTGCAGTGGTTAGCACACTGTGTGTGTGTGAGGAGTGGTGGTGCAGTGGTTAGCGCACTGTGTGTGTGTGGGGAGTGGTGGTGCAGTGGTTAGCGCACTGTGTGTGTGAGGAGTGGTGGTGCAGTGGTTAGCGCACTGTGTGTGTGGGGGAGTGGTGGTGCAGTGGTTAGCGCACTGTGTGTGTGGGGGGAGTGGTGGTGCAATGGTTAGCGCACTGTGTGTGTGTGGGGAGTGGTGGTGCAGTGGTTAGCACACTGTGTGTGTGTGAGGAGTGGTGGTGCAGTGGTTAGCGCACTGTGTATGTGAGGAGTGGTGGTGCAGTGGTTAGCGCACTGTGTGTATGGGGGGAGTGGTGGTGCAGTGGTTAGCGCACTGCTCCAACTGCTAGCAAGAAGGCCAGCTAGACAGCCGAGTTCGATTTCCGCTCATCATCACCACCACCATCACCATCATCACCACCACCACCATCATCACCACCACCATCATCAACACCATCATCAACATCATCATTAACACCATCACTATCATCAACCCCATCATCATCAACACCATCACTATCACCATCACTATCATCAACATCATCATTAACACCATCACTATCATCAACACCATCATCATCAAAACTATCACTATCACCATCACTATCACGATCACTATCACCATCAACACCATCACCATCACCATCATCACTATCATCAACACCATCATCAACATCACCATTAACACCATCACTATCATCAACACCATCATCATCAACACCATCACTATCACCATCACTATCATCAACACTATCACCATCACTATCATCACCACCACCATCACCATCATCAACACCATCACTATCACCATCATCAACACCATCATCAACATCACCATTAACACCATCACTATCACCATCACTATCACCATCACTATCATCATCACTATCATCATCACTATCACCATCACCATCACTATCATCAACACCATCATCAACACCATCACTATCACCATCACTATCACCATCATTATCACCACCAACACCATCACTATCACCATCACTATCACCATCACTATCACCATCACTAACATCATCACTATCACTATCACCATCACTATCACCATCACTAACATCATCACTATCACCATCACCATCACCATCACTAACATCATCACTATCACTATCACCATCACTATCACCATCACTAACATCATCACTATCACCATCACTATCACCATCACTAACATCATCACTATCACCATCACTATCACCATCATCAACACCATCACTATCACCATCACTATCACCATCATCAACACCATCACTATCACCATCCCCATCATCAACACCATCACTATCACCATCACTATCACCATCATCAACACCATCACTATCACCATTAACACCATCACTATCACCATCACTATCACCATCGCGGGTGAGTTGGTGGATGGGTGAGTTGGTGGGTGGGTGAGTGGGTGAGTGTGTAAGTGAGTGTGTGTGTATGAGTGTATGAGTGAGTTAGTGTATGAGTGAGTGTGTGAGTGTGTGAGTGAGTGTATGAGTGAGTGTGAGTGAGTGAGTGTATGAGTGTATGAGTGAGTGTATGAGTGTGTCTCACCGTGAGTGAGTGAGTGTATGAGTGAGTGTATGAGTGAGTGTGTGAGTGAGTGTGTTAGTGTAAGAGTGTGTTAGTGAGTGTGTAAGTGTTAGTGTGAGTCTCACCGTGAGAGACGTGAATGTGTGAGTGAGTGTGTGAGTGTAAGAGTGTGTTAGTGAGTGTGTAAGTGTGTAAGTGTTAGTGTGAGTGTGAGTTAGTGAGTGTGAGTCTCACCGTGAGAGACGTGAATGTCATACACATGCCACCAAATCCGTTGAGGGCCAGCACCACGAAGATGAGGACAGACAGGTCTGGGGAGTGAGACACGGGGGGTGAGACACGGGGGGTGAGACATGGTAGTGGTGATGGTGGTGGTGGTGATGGTGGTGGTGATGGTGGTGATGATGGTGGTGGTGATGGTGGTGGTGGTGATGGTGGTGATGGTAGTGGTGGTGATGGTGGTGGTGATGGTGGTGATGGTGGTGGTGGTGATGGTGGTGATGGTGGTGATGGTGGTGGTGATGGTCGTGGTGATGGTGGTGGTGATGGTGGTGATGGTGGTGGTGATGGTCGTGGTGATGGTGGTGATGGTGGTGATGATGGTGGTGGTGGTGATGGTGGTGGTGGTGATGGTGGTGATGGTGGTGGTGATGGTGGTGATGGTGGTGGTGATGGTGGTGGTGGTGATGGTGGTGGTGGTGGTGGTGATGGTGGTGATGGTGGTGGTGATGGTGGTGGTGATGGTGGTGATGGTGGTGGTGATGGTGGTGGTGATGGTGGTGGTGGTGATGGTGGTGATGGTGGTGATGGTGGTGGTGATGGTGGTGGTGGTGATGGTGGTGGTGGTGGTGATGGTGGTGATGGTGGTGGTGATGGTGGTGGTGATGGTGGTGATGGTGGTGGTGATGGTGGTGGTGGTGATGGTGGTGGTGATGGTGGTGATGGTGGTGGTGATGGTGGTGATGGTGGTGATGGTGGTGGTGATGATGGTGATGGTGGTGATGGTGGTGGTGATGGTGGTGATGGTGGTGGTGATGGTCGTGGTGATGGTGGTGATGGTGGTGGTGATGGTGGTGGTGGTGATGGTGGTGGTGGTGATGGTGGTGATGGTGGTGGTGATGGTGGTGATGGTGGTGGTGATGGTGGTGGTGGTGATGGTGGTGATGGTGGTGATGGTGATGGTGGTGATGGTGGTGGTGATGGTGGTGGTGGTGATGGTGGTGGTGATGGTGGTGGTGATGGTGGTGGTGATGGTGGTGGTGATGGTGGTGATGATGGTGGTGATGGTGGTGATGGTGGTGATGGTGGTGGTGGTGGTGATGGTGGTGGTGATGGTGGTGATGATGGTGATGGTGGTGATGGTGGTGGTAATGGTCGTGGTGATGGTGGTGATGGTGGTGGTGATAGTGGTGGTGGTGATGGTGATGGTGGTGATGGTGGTGGTGATGGTGGTGATGGTGGTGGTGATGGTGGTGATGGTGGTGGTGATGGTGGTGATGGTGGTGATGGTGGTGGTGATGGTGGTGGTGATGGTGGTGATGGTGGTGGTGATGGTGGTGGTGGTGATGGTGGTGGTGGTGGTGATGGTGGTGGTGATGGTGGTGGTGATGGTGGTGATGGTGGTGGTGATGGTGGTGGTGATGGTGGTGGTGATGGTGGTGATGATGGTGGTGATGGTGGTGATGGTGGTGGTGGTGATGGTGGTGATGATGGTGATGGTGGTGATGGTGGTGGTGGTGATGGTGGTGATGGTGGTGGTGATGGTGGTGGTGATGGTGGTGGTGATGGTGGTGATGGTGGTGGTGATGGTGGTGGTGATGGTGGTGGTGATGGTGGTGGTGGTGGTGATGGTGGTGGTGGTGATGGTGGTGGTGGTGATGGTGGTGGTGGTGATGATGGTGATGGTGGTGATGGTAGTGGTGATGGTGGTGATGGTGGTGGTGGTGGTGGTGATGGTGGTGGTGGTGGTGATGGTGATGGTGGTGGTGGTGGTGATGGTGGTGGTGATGGCGATGGTGGTGGTGGTGGTGGTGGCGGTGATGGTGTTGGTGGTGGTGGTGGTGGTGTTGGTGGTGGTGGTGGTGATGATGGTGGTGTTGGTGGTGGTGGTGGTGTTGGTGGTGGTGATGGTAGTGATGGTGGTGGTGATGGTGGTGGTGATGGTGGTGTTGGTGGTGGTGGTGGTGTTGGTGGTGGTGATGGTGGTGGTGGTGGTGTTGGTGGTGATGGTGGTAATGGTGGTGGTGGTAATGGTGGTGGTGGTGGTGATGGTGGTGTTGGTGGTGGTGGTGTTGGTGGTGGTGATGGTAGTGATGGTGGTGGTGGTGATGGTGGTGGTGATGGTGGTGTTGGTGGTGGTGGTGTTGGTGGTGGTGATGGTGGTGGTGGTGTTGGTGGTGATGGTGGTAATGGTGGTGGTGGTAATGGTGGTGGTGGTGGTGGTCACCTTTTGGGTTGGAGGCTCCGTAGGCCAACATGAGACACGAGGCTGCAAAACACAAACTACACAGACACATCGAGTTACACACACAGCGAGTTACACACACACACTACACACACATCGAGTTACACACACAGAGAGTTACACACACTACACACACACACTACACACACACACACAACATAAACTACACACACGGCGAGTTACACACACAGCGAGATACACACACACAGCGAGTTACACACACACTACACACACACAGCGCGTTACACACACACTACACACACAGCGAGTTACACACACACACTACACACACAGCGCGTTACACACACAGCGCGTTACACACACACTACACACACACAGCGAGTTACACACACACTACACACAGACAGCGAGTTACACACACACAGCGAGTTACACACACTACACACACACACTACACACACAGCGAGTTACACACTCACAGCGAGTTACACACACACACACTACACACACACAGCGAGTTACACACACAGCGAGTTACACACACAAACTACACGCACAAACTACACACACACACTACACACACACACTACACACACTACACACACACACACTACACACACACACAGAGTTACACAAACTACACACACACAGCGAGTTACACACACAGCGAGTTACACACACAGCGAGTTACACACACTACACACACACACACAGCGAGTTACACACTACACATACACAGCGAGTTACACACTACACACACAGCGAGTTACACACACACACTACACACACACAGCGAGTTACACACACACACACACATCGAGTTACACACACTACACACTACACACACACATCGAGTTACACACACAGCGAGTTACACACACACACACTACACACACAGCGAGTTACACACACACACACAGCGAGTTACACACACTACACACACACACACCACACACAGCGAGTTACACACACAGCGAGTTACACACACAGCGAGTTACACACACACACTACACACACAGCGAGTTACACACACACACTACACACACAGCGAGTTACACACACACACTACACACACAGCGAGTTACACACACAGCGAGTTACACACACACACTACACACACAGTGAGTTACACACACACACTACACACACAGCGAGTTACACACACACAGCGAGTTACACACACACACTACACACACAGCGAGTTACACACACACACTACACACACACAGCGAGTTACAAACACACAGTGAGTTACACACACACACTACACACACAGCGAGTTACACACACACAGCGAGTTACACACACAGCGAGTTACACACACACACTACACACACAGTGAGTTACACACACACACTACACACACAGCGAGTTACACACACACACTACACACACACAGCGAGTTACAAACACACAGAGAGTTACACACACTACACACACACACACTACACACACAGCGAGTTACACAAACACAGCAAGTTACACACACACACTGCACACACAGCGAGTTACACACACACACACTACACACACACAGCGAGTTACACACACACACACACTACACACACAGCGAGTTACACACACACACACACTACACACACAGCGAGTTACACACACTCAGCGAGTTACACACACACACTACACACACAGCGAGTTACACACACACACTACACACACAGCGAGTTACACACTACACACACAGCGAGTTACACACACACAGCGAGTTACACACACACACTCACATCAAGTTACACACACACACACTACACACACACAGTGAGTTACACACACATACTACACACACACAGCGAGTTACACACTACACACACAGCGAGTTACACACACACACACAGCGAGTTACACACACACAAAACACACACAGTGAGTAACACACACACTACACACACAGCGAGTTACACACACACACTACACATACAGCGAGTTACACACACACTACACACACAGCGAGTTACACACTACACATACACAGCGAGTTACACACACACACTACACACACACAAGAAGTTACACACACACTACACACACAGCGAGTTACACACATACAGCGAGTTACACACACACAGCGAGTTACACACACACACACTACACACACACAGCGAGTTACACACTACACACACAGCGAGTTACACACTACACACACAGCGAGTTACACACACACACTACACACACACAGCGAGTTACACACTACACACACTACACACACACAGCGAGTTACACACTACACACACAGCGAGTTACACACACACTACACACACAGCGATTTACACACACACACACAGCGAGTTACACACACACACTACACACACACAGCGAGTTACACACTACACACACACAGCGAGTTACACACTACACACACACAGCGAGTTACACACTACACACACAGCGAGTTACACACTACGCACACAGCGAGTTACACACTACACACACAGCGAGTTACACACTACACATACAGCGAGTTACACACACACAGCGAGTTACACACACACACATTGCGAGTTACACACTACACAGACAGAACGAGTTACACACACACACTACACACACACATTGAGTTACACACACACACTATCCAGACACAGCGAGTTACACACTACACACACACACACAAAAAGCGAGTTACACACTACACAGACACAGCGAGTTACACACACACTACACACACACACAGCGAGTTACAAACACACACAGCGAGTTACACACACACACTGCACACACACAGCGAGTTACAAACACACACAGCAAGTTACACACACACACTGCACACACACAGCGATTTACACACACACACAGCGAGTTACACACACACACCACACACACACAGCGAGTTACAAACACACACAGCGAGTTACACACACACACTGCACACACACAGCGATTTACACACACACAGCGAGTTACACACACACACCACACACACAGCGAGTTACACACACACACTACACACACAGCGAGTTACACACTACACATACACAGTGAGTTACACACACACAGCGAGTTACACACACACACAGCGAGTTACACACTACACATACACAGCGAGTTACACACACACACTACACACACAGCGAGTTTCACACTACACACACACACACACAGCGAGTTACACACACACACACACACAGCAAGTTACACACAAACAGCGACTTACACGCACACAGCGAGTTACACACACACTACACACACACAGCGAGCTACACACACACACAGCGAGTTACACACACATAGCGAGTTACACACACACACAGCGAGTTACACACACACACTACATACACACAGCGAGTTACACACACACACTACACACACAGCGAGTTACACATACACATACACAGCGAGTTACACACACACACTACACACACAGCGAGTTACACATACACATACACAGCGAGTTACACACACACACCCTGCGAGTTACACACACAGCGAGTTACACACTACACATACACACACACACAGCGAGTTTCACACTACACATACACAGCAAGTTGCACACAAACAGCGACTTACACACACACAGGGAGTTACACACACACAGCGAGTTACACACACACTACACACACAGCGAGTTACTCACATACAGCGAGTTACACACTACACACACACAGCGAGTTACACACACACACTACACACACACAGCGAGTTACACACACAGCGAGTTCCACACTACACACACAGCGAGTTACACACACACACAGCGAGTTACACACACACTACACACACACAGCGAGTTACACACACAGCGAGTTACACACACACACACAGCGAGTTACACACACACACTACACACACACAGCGAGTTACACACACACAGCGAGTTACACACACTACACACACACAGCGAGTAACACACACACTACACACACAGCGAGTTACACACACACACTACACACACACCCACTCACCCACCCACCCATTCACTCACCCACCCACTCACTCACTCACTCACCCACCCATTCACTCACTCACTCACCCACCCATTCACTCACTCACTCACCCACCCACCCACCCACTCACTCACCCACCCACCCATCCACTCACTCACCCACCCACCCACCCACTCACTCACTCACCCACCCACTCACCCACCCACTCACCCACCCATTCACCCACCCATTCACTCACTCACCCACCCATTCACTCACTCACTCATCCACCCATTCACTCACTCACCCGCCCACCCACTCACTCACTCACTCACCCACCCACCCACCAACTCACCCACTCACCAACTCACCCACCCACCCACTCACTCACCCACCCACCCACTCACCCACCCACCCACCCCCCCACACACCCACCCACCCACCCACCCACCCACCCACCCACCCCACCCACCCCACCCCACTCCACCCACCTGCCCAGCAGTCGCAGCTTCCTGGGCCCGTACTTGTCCATGACGATGCCAAGCGGCAGAGTGATGGCGCTCAGCAGGAAGGAGCCCACGGTGAACGCCAAGTTCAGCCTCTCGTCCTGCTCACGGCAAACCGGCCACCCGTTCACCGTGGCCACGGCGCCGCCGGTCGCGTTGGCACCCACGGTCACGTTGCTGAGCTCTGCCACGCCTGCGGTGGGGGGGGGTGGGGGTGGGTGGGTGGAGTGGGGGGTCAGATGTCGGAGATCGGAGGTCGGAGGTCGGAGATCGGAGATCGGCAAAGGTCGAGTAGGGCCGTCGGCACGCACCGCGGCCCGGTCAACGGCACCACCACCACCAACACCGCCACCGCCACCGCATCAACCACCACCGGCCCCACCACCACCACCATCAACCACCACCACCACCACATCAACCACCACCACCACCACCACATCAACCACCACCACCACCACCACCACATCAACCACCACCACCGCCACCACCACCACCGCCACCACCACCACCACATCAACCACTACCACCACCACCGCCACCACCACCACCGCCACCACCACCACCACATCAACCACCACCACCACCAGTACCACAACGGAAGCAGCAGCAGCAACATCAACAACAACAACATCAACAACAACATCATCATCAACATCATCAACAACATCAACAACATCAACAACATCAACATCATCATCAACATCATCAACAACATCATCATCATCAACAACATCATCAACAACAACATCAACATCATCAACAAGCTGCATGCGTTGGGGTCTATGGGTCTATCATCTTTAGTCCCCACCCCTTGCTATCTAGGCCCCACCCCTTCCTCTCTATGCCCCACCCCTTCCTCTCTAGGCCCCACCCGTTCCTCTCTAGGCCCCACCCCTTCCTCTCTAGGCCCCACCCCTTCCTCTCTAGGCCCCACCCGTTCCTCTCTAGGCCCCACCCCTTCCTCTCTTGGCCCCACCCATTTCTCTCTAGGCCCCACCCCTTCCTCTCTAGACCCTACCCCTTCCTCTCTAGGCCCCACCCCTTCCTCTCTAGGCCCCACCCGTTCCTCTCTAGGCCCCACCCCTTCCTCTCTAGGCCCCACCCCTTCCTCTCTAGGCCCCATCCCTTCCTCTCTAGGCCCCGCACCTTCCTCTCTAGGCCCCGCACCTTCCTCTCTAGGCCCCGCACCTTCCTCTCTAGGCCCCACCCATTTCTCTCTAGGCCCCACCCCTTCCTCTGTAGGCCCTGCACCTTCCTCACTAGGCCCCACCCCTTCCTCAATAGACCCCACCTATTTCTCTCTAGGCCCCACCCTTTCCTCTCTAGGCCCCACCCCCTCTTCTCTAGGCCCCACACCTTCCTCTCTATGCCCCACCTCTTCCTCTACAACCCCGCCCCTTCCTCTTTAGGCCCCACCCCTTCCTCTCCAGGCCCCGCCCCTTCCTATATAGGCCGCGCCCCTTCCTCTATAGGCCGCACCCTTTCCTCACAATACAGGATTTGGCTGATTTGGGGTAGTGTTGGGGCTTACTGGACACCGGTATCCCATCTTCTCCTGTCCCTCATCCCCTCGTGTCTCCCTCCTTCACTCCCTCCCCGTGTCTCGCTTAGTCTCCCTGTCTCTCCCTGTCTCTCCCCGTGTCTCCCCCATGTCCCCGTGTCTTCCATCTCCCCGTGTCTCGCCCAGTCTCCCCGTGTCTCTCCGTGTCTCTCCGTGTCTCGCCTAGTCTCCCTGTGTCTCGCCCATCTCCCTGTCTCTCGCCCAGTCTCCCCATGTCTCTCCATGTCTCGCCTAGTATCCCTGTGTCTCGCCCAGTCTCCCCGTGTCTCTCCGTGTCTCGGCTAGTCTCCCTGTCTCTCCCCGTCTCTCCCCGTGTCTCCCCCATGTCCCCTGTGTCTTCCATCTCCCCGTGTCTCGCCCAGTCTCCCCGTGTCTCTCCGTGTCTCGCCCAGTCTCCCCGTGTCTCGCCCAGTCTCCCCGTGTCTCTACATGCCTCGCCTAGTCTCCCTGTGTCTCGCCCAGTCTCCCCGTGTCTCCCCCATGTCCCCCGTGTCTTCCATCTCCCTGTCTCTCGCCCAGTCTCCCCGTGTCTCGCCCAGTCTCCCCGTGTCTCGCCCAATCTCCCCGTGTCTCCCCCATGTCCCCCGTGTCTTCCATCTCCCTGTCTCTCGCCCAGTCTCCCCGTGTCTCTCTGTGTCTCGCCCAGTCTCCCTGTGTCTCTCCATGTCTCGCCCAGTCTCCCCATGTCTCGCCCAGTCTCCCCGTGTCTCTACATGCCTCGCCTAGTCTCCCTGTGTCTCGCCCAGTCTCCCCGTGTCTCCCCCATGTCCCCCGTGTCTTCCATCTCCCTGTCTCTCGCCCAGTCTCCCCGTGTCTCTCCATGTCTCGCCTAGTCTCCTTGTGTCTCTCCATGTCTCGCCTAGTCTCCCTGTGTCTCTCCATGTCTCGCCTAGTCTCCCTGTGTCTCTCCATGTCTTGCCTAGTCTCCCTGTGTCTCGCCCAGTCTCCCTGTGTCTCTCCCATGTCCCCCGTGTCTTCCATCTCCCAGTCTCTCGCCCAGTCTCCCCGTGTCTCTCTGTGTCTCGCCCAGTCTCCCTGTGTCTCTCCATGTCTCGCCCAGTCTCCCCGTGTCTCTCCATGCCTCATTTAGTCTCCCTGTGTCTCTCCATGTCTCGCCTAGTCTCCCCGTGTCTCGCCCAGTCTCCCCGTGTCTCCCCCATGTCCCCCCGTGTCTCCCATCTCCCTGTCTCTCGCCCAGTCTCCCCGTGTCTCTCCGTGTCTCGCCCAGTCTCCCTGTGTCTCTCCATGTCTCGCCCAGTCTCCCCGTGTCTCTCCATGCCTCATTTAGTCTCCCTGTGTCTCTCCATGTCTCGCCTAGTCTCCCCGTGTCTCGCCCAGTCTCCCCGTGTCTCCCCCATGTCCCCCCGTGTCTCCCATCTCCCTGTCTCTCGCCCAGTCTCCCCGTGTCTCTCCATGTTTCGCCTAGTCTCCCTGTGTCTCTCCATGTCTCGCCTAGTCTCCCTGTGTCTCTCCATGTCTCGCCTAGTCTCCCTGTGTCTCTCCATGTCTCACCTAGTCTCCCTGTGTCTCGCCCAGTTTCCCCGTGTCTCCCCATGTCCCCCGTGTCTCCCATCTCCCCGTCTCTCGCCCAGTCTCCCCGTGTCTCTCCATGTCTCGCCTAGTCTCCTTGTGTCTCTCCATGTCTCGCCTAGTCTCCCTGTGTCTCTCCATGTCTTGCCTAGTCTCCCTGTCTCTCCCTGTCTCTCCCTGTGTCCCCCCGTGTCTCCCATCTCCCCGTGTCTCGCCCAGTCTCCCCGTGTCTCTCCATGTCTCGCCCAGTCTCCCCGTGTCTCCCCCATATCCCCCCGTGTCTCCCATCTCCCTGTCTCTCGCCCAGTCTCGCTGTGTCTCTCCATGTTTCGCCCAGTCTCCCCGTGTCTCCCCCATATCCCCCCGTGTCTTCCATCTCCCCGTCTCTCGC